GGGTGCATGAGGGCAGTCTTATCGGGAGCAATTGTCTTCCAGGCTGGGTGGTGGGAAACTACGAGTGTGGCAGCAGAAAAGATGAGTCTGGTAGAGGCTGAAGAAAGGCAAGAACTACTGTCTGCAGCCACTCACCTCAGTCCCGCGCAGGCTGCCTGGATCACCACCTTCCTGGCGACATCTGCGAGGCCCTGGGAGTCGGGAAGATTCCTGTGCCGGAGGGAAAAGAGGCTCGAGGCTGGCTCAGGGATCAGACAGGATCAGACAGGGAAGACCTGAGTCTGGCCTTAAACCTGGTTAGAGGGACAGGGGACGACGGCAGGGGAAGTAGAGGGTCCCCCTGTCCACCTCCTCTTAGTTCACATACCTCTCCTGATAACGCTGTGAAACGACCTGAGATCAGGAAAGGAAAATCTAGCGAGGCCTCGAGCCTGGCTATCATCTTAAAATGTCTGTTGCAGGGCCCGGGAAGCAGGACCGTGTCATATGACCTTAGAATTTAGAGAATTTCTGGTTCAATTGTCTCTCAAAGGCCCAGAGAGGTGAACCGACTTGTTCAAGGTCAAACAGCAGATAAAATGTGACTAGGAACCTGGTTTCCTCTCCTTGCAATTCAACACATGGCAGGTGGATAGGGCCCACCTGGCCCAATGCAATGGGATGTCCTACAATTCCTAAACTATGCAAAACAGGCTGAATATTCTGGAAGAGGAAGAGTGGGGAAACACACTGGCAAGCTGAAGGTCAACAAATACCTTTTCTCTGTGGGGTCTTGAGGAAAGATATGTGAAAACCGGGCTGGACAGGGCAGCGCAGGAGGGACAAACACCCTGGGTGTAGACTCACACCACCGCAGAGTGGGCTCTGCCTAGGCTTGGGAGGCTCCACGTCTCCTGTGAAGTTCACAGAAACTAGGGAAAGGTAAGTGACCTCAAAGCCTAAAGTGTGGGGGCTCGAAAAAGGCTAAATCGGAAGGATTTCGACCTGTCTCCTGGGGAAAGTGGATTACGCGCGCCCGCGTAGGTGGGCAGAAAAACCCTGCTCCTGACTAAAAGCAGAGTCATAGGTCATCTTGGGGGGAAAAGTAGAGCCCCCCTAACAGTCTGCTAAGCTCAAGTCCCCAACAGGGAGTCACCCCAGCGGGGTCCCCCCTTCTGGGGAAGGCAGGCCCAGCAACCTTTTGCTAAAGAATGCCCTCGACCCTCCGGCCCCAC